CTGTATCAAGCATCATTATTTATGCTAATTGCTTAAGCTAATATCATGAGATGCTAAATGCTCTTTAATTAGGATAATTTCAGAAAATATAGCAAACTTGTGCTTAAAAGTTGGCAATGGATAATAACTGTCCACCCATATGATTCTTTTGAAAACTTGAGCTAGAAACTGCTAATCTACTTTGCTTGGCCTAACCAATGTTACATATCTGCACATGCTTTAACTATGTAGTTTTGTTGCTGTAAATCAGTTGTCTCTAATCTGAATGACAAAAAACAGTACCTTTACTCTTAGGTAAAGCTGTAGAAAAAATTCAGATGGATAGCTCACGTGATTTTTTCCATAGGTGTACGCAAACATTTCGATCAAAATTGGGTGGTTTTTATTGAATAACTTTGCACTTGTGGCTTATATTTAGACCAAATTTGACACCTAATTGTAGGTTGTAAAGATCCATCAATGTTCCAAACTTAAAAAAAAATCCATGAAAGTTAAGTATGTTTTTCTATCAAATAAAGTATCTGTACTTTTGGTGCGAAGAAAATTGGAGATTTCATGTCTGGTGTATTTTGTAATAGATTGCCTTGCAATTTGGTGTGTGAAGTAAGGATCTGTAGTTTAAACACGTCTTTTCTTGTTAGGCAAGCTAAGTCCATGATAAAGAATTTCTTTCATGTATCCTCATACATTTGTAAGTAGAATTGGGTTTAATTCAAAGAGTAGAAAAAAAAAAGTTGAGCATAACTTGTCTGTTTTGAGAATATTTCATAGATCAATTTCTTTTCAGACTAAGTATTAGTAATATATAGTCTCTTTCTTGTTTATTGTATCAGACATTTAGTTAGTTTTAATTTAAATTTAATTTTCAGTTTCATTTTACTTCAACTGTGTGGTGCCTGGTAGGGTCATTCTGCCCCAAAAGTAAACTTGCACCATGCATTGAATTAAAGAAATAATAAAAAATAAACTTTACTCATTCTTCCACATATTTTTGTAAATATTTCACAATCTAAATGTACTCAATAAAATGCTCATTTATTTAATTTTATACATTAACGTTTTTCTATCTCAAATTTTGAGTTTGGTGTTTATTTCAGTGAACTCAAAATAAACAAAAAAAAACCATTAATGTTTATCATTTTCCTGAATTCAGTATCCCCTAGGAAGAAAAGCAAAAATATTTTGAATAAAATAGAAACCTTGAACCATGAAGCTTCAACACAATTATAATGTTATCAATCAATGTTTCTAAACCTTGGTTGTCATGGTGTGGTGTAATTAGCTTTCAAAAGTCATAAATTAGTGATTTAAACACGTAATAGAAGCCTTTTTTTTTCTGTTCTTTTTAACTGTGTAAGCCAGTATGGCTTCCATATTAGCAGAAAACTCAATTAGAAATCAGAACAAAATGATAAAAGCTTAGTTTGGTGATGTGTTGCTAAGAGAAAATATGTTTGTGACCAATTTCTGACAATTATAGTCCTGATATCTTGTTAAAGCTTCTTTATCATTTTATACTATATTTCAATTGTGAAGTTGCAGTATGATAAGAAATATTTTTTGTAGAACAAGATGAAGTAGTCTTAGTCAGATCACTTTGCACTTAAATGCATTAGGTTTCATTTCTTTGACAATGCCACTGTTTTTTAGACTGTATTTAAATCATATGTGATTGCTCTAAATAACCGCAAAGAAAATCAATAGAAATAAGTTTAAATGTGCTAGATGACATACCTGTTCAATACACAGGGAAGATCCAGGGGTGACATACATGTCAGGTCCAAACAATGACCACTGTCCAGGGAGCCTTAATGATACCTGCCAGGTTTGGTGACAGTCTGGTGTTTTACCAGTTAAAGGGAGATGTACACACACACACATGCAGGTGTTTGTCACTTTTGACAAATAATGGTTTGGATATATATAAATGAACATAAAATGAGTTTAGACCTTATTACATACACCAAATAAAATCTGACTAACATTTTAAAAAAAGTTGGCTTGCTTATAATTTTGGTAAAAAAGTTATTTTCATTGTGCATCAGTGATCATAAACACAGAGAAACTGCATGCAATGTTTCTCAAATTAAAACATATATAAAAATTACAATTTTATATATAAAACTTAATTGGAGTGTTTTACAAGAATATAGGAAGACATAAAAATCAGTAATTGAAATCTACAAGAAAGGTAAACCATTTTAATTGTTTTTTTTAAAACAACAACAACATGTAACTATAAAATCTTTCTGAATGCTTAAAGTTGCAAATTCATGGAAATATCACATGTACAAATATTTATGCAAAAGCTACATAACCTGTTGAAAGCTTCTCACAGTTTTCCAATTATCTCATCCATTAGTTTGTTTTTTGTGGCTATGGAATAAAACACACCTACATTAGGTGCATCAAATCAATGCATCCAGTCATATTAGAGTTTATTCAGTTAAGTAGAATAAAATGAATTGTTAAAAAAATTTCTGAGTAGCTAGTAATTGTATTTGTTATTAAAGCTAAACAATTTAAGTAGTTTACAACATTTTCTTTTTTTGTAACTAACAGCTTATTGGAAGTTCCTTACTCTTTGTTCATGACATGAAGAATGCCAACGTCTGGTTGATTGATTTTGCTAAAACGCGTCGGTTACCGTTAAATGTTCACATCTCACATCGTGATCCTTGGCAGATGGGTAACCATGAAGATGGGTTTCTTGTTGGATTGAAAAATCTCATAGAACTTTTTCAGGAGCTGCACAAACAAGATCAAAATCACCATGAATTCCCTGATCTATCATAATACCAGTGTCTGTGTCTTGGGAAGGGATAGGGTTGCATTGAGCTTTACCTCAGCCAGATATATAAGTTCAATATTTAACAAGCCAGTTTTTTAAATAATGTAAACAGGTAACCAATTTGAATTACAAATATCAATGATTTGTAACAGTATTTGAAAGCTACTACCATATTTTATTCTTGGTAGAAAGATCTTTCAGATTCTTCTCTTGAAGCAAATGAGGAATTTCTAACAAAGTAGCCAAATTTTAATGTACATAGGCAAGGCTACAGTTTTATTTGTAGTAATTACTTCCATATTTCAATTTCAGTTTTCTTAGTAAGCACAACTATGGTATCTAATATGTTACCAGGACTTTAAAATTTTATATTCTCGGGCACTAGACACTGTTCTTTCTAACTTCTGATGCTGTTGGTGAGGAATTTGAAAAGAGAATTTCTCTTGACAACTTGCCAGATGTTATTGATTAAATTATAGTAACTTTGTTTATTGATGATTTCATGATTCATGTTGCATGTATACATCCAAAAAAATATTTCACAAATTTGATAATTAAAAAAATTATTTCGATATATTTTATTGTATTATAACTCTGAATTATGATATAGTACAATATAAGCAACATGACTGATAATTTCCCTTTATTGTAATATTTAATGACTGAGGTATGTGTACTACAAAGCAACTGTTAGAATTTTTGAAAAATAATCAATACCATATGTATTAAACATACGAAATTGACATTCCTTTTTTATTATTTGATCACAGTGAAAGTATACCTGTGCTTAAACGTTTCAAGTCTTCATTCATATACTTGGGTTGAATTTGATCATTATTTGTTGTAAGTGAAAAGTGCCAATAATATAAATATTTTTTGTAATATATGTTGTACAGTGACAAAAAAATGCATTTTATCCAATTTCATTCCATTTAAAGAAATACTTTTTTTGAGAGCTGCAATATCATCAAAGGGTGTAGTAGAATGTTTATCTATTCTAAAATAATATTAAAGCATAAAACAGATATTTTTGAACAACAAAACTAAGTCAACTAATTCTAATGCTTTTATACAAAAAGAATTTATTTTATTTTCCATGTTGTATTACTGTAGATAAATATAGTTTAATAAATCAGACAAATGCATATACTTTAGAGACATCTGGTTTAATAATAAATGGGATACTTCATTTGTAATAGTGTTCTATAATGTTAACTACATGTTGTTGAACATGTAAAAGCAGGTATAAAATAAATATTAAATCAGATTCATATATATATATCACACCAATATAAAAATTATATACAACATAAAGATGTACTAATTGCAGTTTAAGTGTTTCAAATAATATATATATTTAAAAAACTCCTGACATCATTGGAAATTTTATTCAAGTAAAGGTGCTGTTGGTTTTGGGGGGGAATCTCTTGCTTTTGTGGAAAAAAGGGGGAAGAAAATCATTTTATGTGATTATCTTATATAATTCAATAAAGTCTTTTGAACTATAAAACCTTCTGAAGCATATGCTGCATTCATTTATGCTACAAATATACACACACACATACCCAGCACAAATACCACCTACATAATATTTCCACAGTTAGATCTGAAATTATCAGCTAATGGTTTGCAGGTTCATATCCCTGTCACCTAACATGCTTGTCCTTTCAGCATTATAAGTGATAGTCCATCCCACTGTTTGTTGGTAAAAGAGTAGCCTAAGAATTAGCAGTGGGTGGTGTTGACTAGCTGCCTTCCCTCTAGTCTATCACTGGTAAATTAGGGATGACTAGCACAGATTGTTCTCATGTAGCTTTGTGCAAAATTCTAAACAAACCAAACCTAATACTTCATTTCCTGGAGTGTTTCCAACTTGGTTTTGCAGTGTTCTATCTCCTGAGTAAACTTTTTTAACAAACATTGAAATTTTACTTTGACATACTTATTAAATGATCAAAAAGAATAAAAATATAGCAACAGGGCTTGCATGAAATCCTTGAAAACTGTTATAGCAACTACCAGGCCTTAATGGTGTTTAAAACAAGGAATTTTTCTATCAATGGCTTTAACCCTAGTAGTGACCAGCTTTTTTAACATGTTTTGGAGCTACTTGTACAATAAATTGCTTGTTGGTTTGTGACTTTGTTAGTTACAGGGTCCCTAATTAGTCACATAAAATTAAAAAAAATCATCAGTAATGCAATTAATTGTACTAATTACTCCTGGGCTTCCAATGTATTTTACTTTTAAAAAATTAGTAACTTCATCCAGTATTTTTTGTGGTAAGTGCCGTTATAACAAGGAAAAATTACTCAATATGATGCAGTATGTGGACACCACAAAAACTGCAGTGATATACAAACGAGTCATAAGATCTGCCTTTTAAAAATAAAAGTTACTCAATCTTTAAATGAGGTAATTAGCTGTGAAGATCAACATTTTTTCTTTTCATTTCCTCTCATATGCAGTTTGAAAATCAGCTTAATGATATTGAAGTTCCTGTGTGTTTGAACTATGGGACTTTCATTGAGCTATATAAGGTGCTTACATAGATCATTGAAGGCTAGAAACTGGCCATGGTGGTACCTCTGAGTAAATCTGTGTCATACATTTCTATATGCATTTATTTTATCCTCAAGGCATTCATTGATCAGAATTTTGGGGAAATATCATTTTAATCTGTGTTGACTACAATCTGGCAGTGATGTTGCAAGTGACAGTAAAACTGAAAGAAGAGTGAAATAATTCAATATATTGACTAGGATGAATTGGCTTTGAAAAAAAAAAAAATATGCTTAAAAATTTTAAATTGCTGAGAATGCTAAAAAACGTGGAATAAACATTAAGATATTCCTTTGTGCCACTAAAAATATTAGTAAATAGGCATTAACTGAGTTGTTGAAGTGAGTGAATGTGAATAAGCCTAGGCCTACTCCACGTTTCCTGTAAACCTAAGTTTAAGCCAATGTTAGCTTTTAACCATATGGTTATGTATGTTTGAAAGTTACTGCAATGAGACATTCACATAAAAGCTATAAGAACATTAAGGAATTATTCATGTGAATGTTTCTATACAGCATAATTATTTGTGCAGAAATGGGATATAAAGGTGTTACCATGCTTGTTTTCTTTGGGCTAGAAATCACTAGCACCATATGTAATGAGTAAATTAATCAGCATGGTTTAATGCGAAGCTGAATTTCAAAACATGGAATAAACAGTTTTATATGTTTGCTGAGGACACAACACACACACACACATCCATGTAGTATTACACCATCTTGACTCAACATTTACTGAGCATATCACAACAGAAGATATGTTGAAGCGTTTTAGTTTTTACTGATCTGTTGGGCAAACTGAGTCTTATGAACATGATACAAGTATCCATGGATGGGTGCAATGTTAGCTGGGTGTTTTACAGTCTCGTTGAAACTAAAGTGTATTGTGGTGAGTGTATAACTTATTTTAGTTAAACATAGATAAGTTATTTTTAAAGACTATATTTTTCTCATTGACTATATTTAGGCCTAATAACAGCTCTTTAATTATCCATTTAGAGAAGAGACTGAACTTGTAATTGTGTTGATCAAATTTACTAACTTGTTCCCCTTTTTTGTAGGTATTTGCAGTCACCATCTAATGCATGAAGTTTTCAGAAAAGGGTCAGAAGCTGTAGACTTGGTTGTAGATGGAATTCTGTAGGCATGCTGGTTACTGGAAGATACCCCAGCTTATTAGGAGTTACTGGTCCACAGATGTTTCAAAAAATGTATTTTAGATGAATATAGAATATTCCCATAACTGAAATGTGCTGTAGAAATGCTTCCCAAAATGAAACAGTATGTTGAAGTGATTCAAAAGGACACAAACTGTACGTTGCTGAAAGCAAAATGATTTGAAATAGTCAAAGAAGGATGCAATAATGTAGCGACTTTACTAAGACTCTCTTTTACATCTCTGTTATGAAGCAGTTTAAGTAATTTCTGATGGAATATCAAACTGTTTTATCATTTCTCCCCACTGACTCGATACATCAAAAATGACCTTTTCAAGGCTGTACACAGTATATTAGAACTGCTGTACATTGATACCATCAATGAAGGCTCACACAAAAACTTCAAAAATATTAATGTTTGTGATTGAGTTCAATATGAATATAAAGTGGCAAAGTTACTTGTGAAGTTACCATTCAAGCATCCACTTTGCCCATTGTGTCATGTCCTGACTATTTCCATGGCTAAGACATCAGATTAATGCCAAAAAAACTTTAATCATGTCTTAAGCAAACTTGCTTTCAGCTAAAGAGTTAAAAAAAACTTGATAGGAATATCTTTCAGTGTGGATAGAAGATATTCATAGCAGAAATAGTTAGTGCTAATGAAAGATAGTTATTTGACTTCAAATTATTGGAAAATGTGAGACATTACGTGGATAACAAAAAGAATGTGAGAAGTCACAGTGCTTGTCTTGATACTTTCTCTTGATCAGACTTCTATAGAGCAAAGCTTCTCAATAAAGAAAAAAACTTGTAATGCACAGAGTTATGTATGAACATATATCAAATACTGGTTTTATGATAAATGTTGCTATCATGAAAGATATGTTGACTTATGCCCAGGGGAACATGCTAGAAATATGCACAACACTTAGAGAAGAAAAATTATGGTGGCAAGTGAATTCTTCAAAATGAAGAAATTGCTAGATGAAACTGATTAAATCAAAGAAGAGAGAAATTGAGGAAGATATCAATTACTTGCTTGAATCAAATAATGTGGGTTAAACATGGCCCAATAGTTAGTGTGCCAGACTGTGAATTTGTGAATTCATTGTTTGCATCCAGTTACCATGAGAAAAATTATGCATTGTAAGGATAACAGTAAATCCCACTGTTTGGTGAGGCAAGAACTGCCAAAGAGGTGATTGTAGTTGCTATTTTGTAACTGCCATCCCTCTAGTCTATCAGTTTATAATTATGGAAGGCTAGCAGAGATAGCCCTTGAGTTGTTTATGCAAGTATCCTAAACAAACAAACAAACAAACAAGAACAACCATCAGCCGATGAAATGGCTGAGAAAGTTGAGAATAGCACTGAACTTATATTACTGACAAAATCAAGTAGATATAATAAAACAGCCAAAGATAAACAGAAGTGTATTAGTAAGCTAAGCTCAAAAACTAATTGAAAATGGAAAAATATGCTTATCATTCTTGTCAATAACTTGTTAAACAAAATAACTTCCATATTCTGCACTTACTTGATAAATCTGTCGGTGTTATTAATCAAGTTATTGGAAAGCTTGTTTGAATATTCTGGAGAGTGTGTGACTGTATAACAAAGCTTTAGCTTTGTAGCATGTATTAATGGAAATTTATGGTAGCCAAGTTGCATGAACCCTATAATGAATAACTAGACCACTATGACCCGATGGATCAACCATTATTCAGAGGTTATGAAGAATTCAAGCTAATTTCAATATTGCACCGAGATGAAGGTTTATTTTGAGGTAATTTAATTAAATATTTCAATTCATTTGTGTTGTTCATAATTCAAAAAAAGATATTTGATTGTTGACCGAGAGTAAAAGGAAAGACCATTTCATTTTTCAAAAAAAAGTGAAGTAAGAAGTTTTGTAAAGAGTGCGAACGGTAGTGTGAATGATTTTTTGACTGAGAAAATAAACAAACAAACAATCTCTTGAGTTTTAGTAGTATATATATATAGATTCTT